TAGTTCAATTAACTTAACTTTGATCACAATGCTTATAACATCTAGTTTTCCATACTTTAAAATGAAAATACAGGTCATTTTTGGCGTTTTGTATCACAACCTTGATGCTCGGTAGTTGTTCCCACTTTCGCTAACCACTTATAATGTACATATTTAGTTTTGTGTTTTCGTTATTGTTTCCGTAAAATCAAATCCAGTCAAATATAACGTTTTTATACTTTGATTTATTTACAAATTTGTGTTTAAATGTAACTTAAAAGTTTACTGCTTAACATAAGTTCATATATCCAATTTAATTGAATAATACTTAAAACTTTATTTTTAATCATACAAACTTGTAACTTAATTATAATATATTTTGTTTGTTAATTTTGTAGGTTCTAATTCTACTGAGGAAGGGCTTGTGCCCGAAACTAGTTTAGAAAAATTAACATTTAAAAAAGTCATCACCAGAGTATAATTTATTTTTTGATCTTTCATCACCTAGCTTCTTTCGTTTTCGAGTTATTTTGATTTTAAATTTTTTTTTTGGTAAATTTCACAATGCTCTTTAAAACCCCATATCCCAGCCAACGTTCATTCAAAGAAGCTCTAAATTGGCACGATTACTTTTCAGATGTTATTATATAGATTATCATTTATTGTATCAGAGTATCTTATACACGTGGTCAAAAATTGAATTACCGTTTCTCCATGTTCAACCGCAAGAAAGTCGAAAATTTTAAATGGAACGCCCCATAGTTTATTAGCCTACCCGAAAGGGAATTTAATTCTCTACAAGTTATCTATAAACATTTTTATACCTATTTATTGTAGTTTCTGTCATATTCGGAAATTTATCAAATCATGCAGGAAACCGTTCGTATTTTTATTAGAAGGCCATGATATTTTGACAGTTTGTAGTTTAATTTATTTCTATTATTATTTGTACTAGCTGGTAATCTTTTAGTTTACTAGCTTTTACTTACCAAAAATAACAAACAGAAGATCAAATAAATGAAACAATTAAAACAAAAAATTAATGACAAAAATTAGATTTGGATAAAAATATAAATATATAATATAAATTTGTTATTAAATTGAATTTGGAAATGCAATAAAATACAATAAAATATTTATTTCGTTGTCTTCATCACTGGTGACCGGAAATATGCGGTTTCTTTTGGTCTCGATATGTAACTATGAAAATCTTTATTAATTTTTCCTTGTGATGGGCGTTATGTTTGTTAGGCATTTCTCATTAAGAGTTCGACACGTCCTGTCCAAAAGTTTACTACATTCCTGATCAATACAAAATCAAATTGCTTTTGTTACTAGTTCTAATGTTGCATAAATTTTGTTTAATTGTAAAATAAAATTTTTATTTCAAAAAAATGACCATGTTTTTCAACATAAAAGTTGATTTTTCTAGAAAACGGCCAACTTTAGAGCTCATGACCTATAGTACCTTTTTTGTGTAGAAAACATTGACGGTTCAAATGGGCGTCTCAAAACCGTACTTTTTCCAGTGGCGTAGAAGTTGGGGAGAAAACCAACCACTACCCCAAGGTCAAAATCTTCACCAATTATGACTTTAAAAAAATTTTTTCTCGCACAAAACTTAGCTTCTTATAAGTTGAAAATGCTTACAAACGCTGTTTTCTGTACGATAAACGGTTCTGGAGATATTCGCAAAAAACGATTTTTTTTATTAAATTTCAACATCCTGTATCTCGAAAATGGTGCATTTAGAAGGTAATTGATAGAAATTTTTTCAAATTTTTGGATAAGATATCACATCCTGAAGTCCTGCGCATATGTTATGAAACAACCTGTATAATTATACATATACAGGATAATTCAAATTCGACCCCCACCATTGGGTTCTCAGAAACCATAAGATATACAGAAATGGTTAAATGGGGGCAAAGTTGCGTATCTTAGAGCTCATCATTTTTCAACAAAGTTTTTGGATCTAGCTGTTTTACTTTTTAAAATATTGCCGAAAAACAAAAAAATTGCTTTTTCGGTTTTTGCCTATAACTTTTTTATTTTTCGTTTATTCGATTTTCACATCAAAAAATAGGATAATTAATTCTGATGTCACACAATGTATTTCATTTAATAAAAAAGAATATCTTATTAGGAGGCTGTAACTTGTGCGCTAAGTGTTTCCATTTAATTTCTAGTTGTATCATGACATTTTTCATAAAAAGTTGCCTTAAGAATGTTTTTTCAGATTCACGAAAAAAACGAAAAATAAAGAAGGCCTATAACTTCTTCTCTCTCAAAAAACGAAAAAGTTATTATTACTGTATATAAAATATACAGGTGTGTCAAATGTCTGGAATATAGCCAATAACTTCGTCATTTGTGGTTTTAAATAAAAATGTTTCAAATACAGGTTTCTTTATTAATCATGGCGCATTTTTTTGGCAATATTTACTTGTTTGCACTGTTTTTTGTTACGTAGCTATGTTAACCAACATTATTATTTTAAATAGGATGCATATATTTTTTTTGCATACTTCTATAAACGATATTTTATGCGATGAACATATCAAATCATATGGTTGCGTTTTTTGAAAGTATTAAATCAGCTAATTACAATTAAAGTAGGCGCCGAAATAACGACGTTGACAAGTTTAAATGTTAAAAAATTGATAGTTTAAACAAATATGGCGCAATTAAGGGAACGACAAAGAATCCAAATATTAATAATCTATGGGTACGGTGATAGAAAACGCACTCAAAGTGAAGTTTGGTTATTTCGACGCCTACTTTGATTGTAATTTGCTGATTTGATATTTTCAGAGAACGCATTTTATCTCGATTTTTGTGTTATACAACCATATGATTTGATATGTTCATCGCGTAGAGAGATTTATTCTCTATTAAAATGTGCAAAAAAAACATATGCATCCCATTTAAAATAACAATGTTGGTTGCCATAGCAACGAAACAAAGAACAATGTAAACAAGCAAGTATCGTCAAAAAATACGCCACAATTAATAAAGAATTTTTTTGTTTGAAACATTTTTCTTTAAAACCACAAATGGCGAAGTCATTGGCTATATTCCAGACATATGACACACCCTGTATATAGTTTAAGTATGGGAATCGAGAAATACTAAAAGCACATTCCTACAGTACTGAATATAAAATTGGAAATCACGTTTCCGCTTCCATTTTGCATAATTATTTTCTTCATATGATATCCCAGTAAGTCAAATTTTCTAAATTACCATGTAAAAGTGTTGAACATACAAAAGATGCTGTTTTTTAGCAAGTCTCCAACCAGTCTGTCAATATACTTTTTCGACTATTTTTCTAAAACCTATAAAATATATCGTCGAACCTTTGCCAGGCATCAAAATCAGAAATTTTCAGCTCCAGTGCTCGCGTACCAAAAACATGGGAAGATATGCGCAACCCGAAAATTTTTTGATGATTCAGATGGTTCGTTGACCATAGATTTCTCTGTTTGTCAAATGTCTGCACATACCTTAATCATTTTGACAACATATGCGGTCGGTATACAAGAAACTCCGCCCAACAAAGCTCCTTCTAGCACAAAACAATCCGAAACATAAAATTCGTCGATTTTGTATACAACGACGATGCTTACTCTGATTAAACTGATATGGAAATATTACTTTTTGTACTCATAGCATCTAGATACCTATTTCCCGCACAGAGAGGACGTGCGGGAAACGCGTTTTCCTGCACAAATGCTTTTTGTTACCGCAACTAACAGGAATATTTAATGACCAAATGTGCATGTTTATAAGAAAAGGTTAATAAGAACGTTTTATACCTTCGTGTGCAGATAACACAGTTTTAAAATATTTAAAAAAATCTATAAAAATCAATTTGCAATCAATAAAATCCATATTGACGTTTTGAATTTCGGTTGATTTTTTCCTGTCAAAAACCCCACATGCAACTCATATCGTCACACAGGGACGTTTTATTCGTTACAAAAAATATTGTACAATACTCATGCGGAAAGTATTTTTTCGCACGCAAATGCAGCACTCACTCCCTTCGGTCGTTTGTTCTGCAAACTAGCATGCTCATGTGAAAAGAGAGCCTTTCCGCATTTGTATCGTAAATAACTATTACAAAAGCAAAGTAAGAATCTGAAATTCATTGTTATAAGAATTTTGGGTTTATAGGATCTAAGGAATGTAAACGTCGAATGAGCAAAACGTTTATTCTCGATCTTCTAGGATAATTATGTCGGCATCAGTTCTTTAAAAAACTATAAAGATTGCTAGTTCTTTTTCCTAAAAAGTTTGTTATTCAAAATTTTGAACAACTCATGACTAATCTTCTGTCATAATTTGTATTTTCATTTCAATAACTGTTACTTTGAGTTGTGAAATCATTCAGTCACAGACTTGTCAATTATGTTCTGAAAATATTGCAAACACAAGCTTGAAATAGCAGCTTGATATCAATCTAATCCATATTTTTTATTATAGCAAGTGCAAGAAAATAGATCTAAAGTTATCGCGAAATCAGTCTTGGATTTCTAAATGAATTTAAGTTTTTTCTGAAAAGAGAATCTCAATCGAAATTTGAATTCATTCAAAAACTCAATCTGATGCGACGTTTCTGTTATGAGTAAGAATTAATCCCGTGTCACCGGAATTTCGCTCAAGAATATTTTACCATTTAATTGAAGGACATTTATGAAACCTATTATTACTTATTATATTTTCTTGACGTTTTTTAAATGAAATGTCGTCTTAAACATCAAAATGATACGCTATTTTTACGGTTATTTTTTAATTAATTTTCACTTATTTTAAACGTTTTATTTTTTTAATAACTTTTATCATAGTTATAATTAGATCATTGATTAAGTATAATAAAAAAGTCACTTGATTAAAATCCTTTAAAATGATAACCTAACAATAAATTCCTAATAATATAATTGAGGTATGATTATTTTTAGTTATCACCTGCCAATTATATGAACCCAATTTATATCTTGCATTTTAAAATAATCAGAATAATTTTATAATTATTAATATTTGAAGGCTGCGAAATTATAGCATCCTATATAAATAACTATTTTATAAAAAAAAAGCCTTACCATTTCTTCAAATACAAAATCAACATCAGTTACATAAGGTTCAGGAATTGCTACAGAATCTCCAATTATAACCCCTTTTCCTTCTGCTATATTATAAACAGTAACAACAACACAACTTCCAACATTATCCACCATACAAAAGGTACTAAAAAAAATTACACACTCAAAAAAATCAAACTTATTAATTCTTTTTCTTACAAAGGTACAGTATCTTCGTTATGCACCGAACATACAACTTTACCCAAAATGACTTTTTCTTCATTTAAACCAGGTTGGAGATCGTTTAATTTCACTTCATTCAATTTAACAGTCGCCCCGGTGACAGTAGATGTGTAGCTACCTCCAGAAAAAGGGCCCAATTGCTTTGATTCATTAATTGATTGAAGTAATTGTTGAAGTTTTTTTAATTTCATTTTACCAGATGTTTTTGTCAACTCATTAACATCTTTTAAATATTTCACTAATTGCTTTTGCTTTATTTTTGGAGGATCCCACGTAGGATCGTACAAAGAAGATTCGTTAAACGATTCCAAAGCTAATTTAAATTCTTCTTCATATTTTAAAGTCTAAAAATTAATTTGTTATAATAATAATTACTTATTTTAATTTGGGGTATAAAAAAATCTTACTATTGCTTTATTATAATGTAAATCCGGCATGCTTTTAGCTACAATGTCTTTTTCAGCTTGATTGTAAGCACTTAAACATTGTTTTAATGTTTTCGGATTCTGTGTAATTCCAAAAAATGATGCTAAATGGGCATTTGCTAGTACAGCCCATGAAGTACCATCATGTGGATCGATTTGTACAGCTTCTTTAGCGTAATTTAGACCCTTTTCAATGTTTTTTATACGTTCTTCTTGGGTGTTAAAACTATTTTGACGTGCTAACATTGATAAATTTCTTAAAGCTATTTTATTTTTTCCCTAATAATAATAAATGTTAAAGGAAAATTAACACTTAAAAAGTAACTCACTAATGATAGAGCTTTATTAAAACAATTTGTGGCCTCTTTTAAGTTATCGTTTTTCCAATAACACTCCCCCAATTCATTCCAAGCGTTAACCAATTTCGGATTTAATTTGAGACATTTTGATAAATTTTCTTCCACTTTCCTATCGTATTTTGGCACGACATTTAACGCTTTACCAAGTAAATAATAATAATTAGCACGCGTTGTATTATCTAAACAGTCTTTGTATTCATCGAAGACGGGAACGATTTTATTTAATTCTACTTCGACATCGTGCGTTTTATTGACGGACTCCTTTAGGTCGTGCGTTTCAAAGTAATGATCTCTAAAATGATATAAAGCACCCACCCTATCCTAAATAGAAAGGGATTTATCAATTTTTAAACCTAAATTGAAACGATTTTTGTGTGGGTGGAACACCTGTTCAATTTATCGAGTACTTACGCTAAGATCTTTTAAGATATCACCAGATTTATTTTCCGTGCAATCACCGTTTACGTTACCATCGTCTTTCGTGCTCATTTTGTGCGATTATATCGAAAATAACTACATTACTTTTTGTGTTTTGAGAGATTGCACTGAATTTTTTTAGGTTATGTTGACGTTTTAATTGACATATTGTTAATTCATAATAGTGACATCTATGAGTGACAAGATTAGATTAATTTTTTTTGAAAAAATGAGTCGTTTTTAAAGAATTAATGTAAAATTATGTTTCGAATACGATATTTAATTAAAATATTGATGAGTGATGATGAATTTTGGTACAATTAAGAATGGAGTTGAAGAAAATGAGGTTAATTGTATTTATTGAATTGATGTTTGTCGGTGTTAAATAATAGATGGCGCTTATAATCAAAGTGAATATTTTCTATAAACCCACAACTTTCCTGGATTTTCTCTTGAGCGCAAGTCCATCTGCGCAGAACACACACACATTCAGTGTCTGTTTGCTGCATTGTTGTGGTTCGTTCCACTAAAAAATCGTCGAATTCGATCGCAAAGAGGGCCCCAAGTTTAAGTGAATCCATCCTAAAACGATATTAAATTGCCGTACGTTGAAAACAGAACGTGTCGAGAAGATGTTGTCGCGATTCAGTTAAAATTTAGTGCTGTGGGTGCAGTTTCTTGCCGTTTTTTTATCCCGACACACTATGGAGTACACGGAGTAGTAGTAGTGTAGTGACCTGTATTGGCCCCCTCCGTTGAAGAACTTCCGTAACAACCAAGAAACGGATTAATTTCAAACGAAACAAGAGGAAAAAGGAAAAAGAAAAAACCCACAACAGATTTCCGCGTTTTTCTTTTTCTAGGATGACTTCTAGGCACATTCCCGCCGATAAGGTAAGAAAGGGGGCCTTAAATTTAGGTTTAAAAACCGCACCCTACATCTCACTTTATAACTCTATAAGTATACTTTAATCCTTCTGCTAGAAGACGTTACACGAAGTCGACCTACTTAAGTTCAACCCTCACAAAAGAATTGAAAATTCAGTTTAATTTCTCTTCACAGTTTTCTTTTTGTGTCTTTGTAGGAGGATTGCAAAGATACAAAAACAAACACGGTGTTTTTGTGTTTTAAATTAGATATATTTATTGTATAATTAATTAAAAGAAAAAAATTAATTAGAATCATTTCATGAAGGTGTACTTTACGTGTTTCAATCAAAAGACCATCTTCAGAAGCATAATTTAACACCATCAAAAGAATTAAGAATTTGGTTAGGATCCAATACAAAGAAATTGTTACATTCTCTTTTTTAAAGTCTTTGTGCAAAGTTATGTTGTAGTTTTCATTAAGATTTATGTTTTATTCACAACATCAATGGAAGAAAAAGAAATGTTTTGTTTTTACAAACGAATTATTAAAGTTAATTATCAGATAATTAAGGTAAGTACACAACAATAATGAGATAAAACGTTTACAACCTCTATTACTTTCTAATCTTCGCAATGAGTCATTTTTGCTTGTATTTTTGGCAATATCAAACGTGCTATTTATTAATGCAACAACAACGAATTATTTATTATTATTGATTTTTCAATTTATACAGGGCGATTAAGTGCAAAGTTTGCAGAAATGTGCTTACTTTTAATCCATCAACATTGAGTTTTGACAAGCTGAGATTCGAGGACTAATGATGTAACAAAGTAATGATTCAACCCTCTCAAAAGATAATTTCAAAACATATCAATCATTGTTTTTGATATAAATTTTGCTTTTCTGATGTGTCCCTTTCATAAAGCTCCACCTCCACCTTGAAATACGTCCACAAGAAAAGTTGCAGCGGTTCAAAATTTGTTGAAATCATCAATTAACAGCTTCCTCTAAAGAGATTTAGTCAATTGGTGAACATTACTTACAAGATAGCTTGGGAAAATGGTCCGTATGGATTGACCCCATTATCGTTACGATAGTTTTAGAGCCTATACATAGATGTTCTTTTTCTTTTATGTCTATTCTTTGACATGATGCTTCAATGTTAGTTTACGGAAAAGCTTCTTATGACCTCTATACTCTTTCAAGAATAGTGTAGGCGCTTCCGGCAAATAATAGCAGGAAAGATAGTGTTCAATTTCCGCATTGAGCGTACGAAGAATCGCGTTTTAAAATGTTATTTACGGCTTTAGAAAGCGAAAAGTTAATTGAAACAGCTTCAAAGTTTATGATGTCTCAACTATAACCTACGAAAACAATTTTTGGAAACAAATAGCAAAATTTGTATGGTCAAATATGAACCGCACTGGTCAAAGAATGTATCGATAACCTGAGAAAACTCGCCAGGGGTAATAAAATTAGCTTATGGTGGGTTCCAGGTCACAGAGACATTGTGAGTAATGAAAAGTCTGACAAGCTGGTTAAAGAAGCAGCGAGGACGTCTTTCCCTTTATTCTAGGACAGGAGAGAACTCGTAGGTGTCTTGATGCAGTGTCTTGGCACTGACAGCAACAAAAAAAAGTGTAAACAAAAAATATCTACTCTAAATTTGTTATAATTTATTATCTTTATCAGAAAATGCATAGTTTAACACGTTCGTCGCCAAGCATGATTAGGCTGAGTTTTTCACCTGACCCATATCCGGCCGCCGAACGAATCGGCAGAACGTAACTTGTTGTGACACGCACATCAGTGACTTTATCATCCTCAAAATGTTTATTGTAGTAATCATATGCAAGTGAAGACTTTGAGGACATGTTGGAAGAACTTACTATAAGCGAAGAAGAGGAAGTGAACTTTGTTGATAATTCATTAGATAATATCCAGTGGAACAAAATCGCTAACAGGAAACAATCATTTCCGTTCACTGGAAAAGCTGGGCTTCTAATAGATTTTGCTTTCTGATGTTAAAGCAAGTGCTTTCGTTATTCTTACACGAAAAATCGATAATCCTGTTAGTAAAAAAGGTGATATGCAGAGCAAATACTGCATCAACGTGAAATGATTGATTTAATGTGCTATTAAATAGATGGAAACCGGCCACTTCTGAAGAAATTACAAAATTTATCGGACTGATGATTTAAATCTAATACAGACACCGCTCGTTTGCTCACCACAACATTTGCTGAAACGACCTCGACGAAATGATAAAATTGCGGAAACTGATTCAATGCAGGCTAGACGGTTTGAATTTGTTCACTCATGGAAAATGACGTGTCTTCTTTTCTGTACATCATACACGACTGGTGCGTCATAGAAATCACCTATGGATCCGTTAGTCATTTGCGTTGTCGCATCTTACCAATCCTACCTTTATCAGATATGATTGACGAATAAAATAAATCATTCTTAAACTTCTTTCTGGAGTTTTTCAGTATTCAATCTTGGAGATATATGTATTTTTTCTTCTTCCTCTTTATTTGTGATGTTTTTCTGGTTCATCAGGCCTTTTCTGAGGATGCTGAATACGGCATTCCACCTAATATGCCACCTTTTCGACAGGTCTTCTCGAACTCAGTTTCTCACTCTTTTGGCGTATCCGCCCTAGTTTTCGATGTATAAATCAGTA